TGGAGTAGATCTTGTTATACACCAAGATGGCGGCACCCACATGCTCGAGCGCAGCCATCTTGATGTATACCAAGATCTACTCCAAAATGGCGGCGTGCATGTGCAGAACGTGCTGGTGGCCGATATTGCCACCGCTTGTTTAGCGTGTGACTTCGCCGTCATGTGACGTCACACACTCCGCCTCCATGAGGCCCTTGTTATAACCCTTTGTTATAGTCACCGGCGTTTTCTGAAAACAAATTGATGTATGCCCGAATATCGCTTTAGTATATTCAGGCAAATATTAAATCTGTTATTTCGTTGATTTGCAGGTTTGTCCGAATACGAATGCTCATGTCTAAGAATAGATATAAAAGGGGGGGAAAATGATACAAATAAAATAGAATACATCACGCTGATCACTGGGAGAGAAGCTGTATGCTGGTGGAGGAATTATACAGCTCTGCCCACTAAGCCTTGAATGTAAGTTTTTAAAGAATTTATGATTAAAAGTTTTTTAAGGAAACTTTATACTATATGGCATCTAAATTATTTTCCATGGGGCACTGAATAAGTTACAAGGAGAAATGTTAAAGTTTATTTTCAGATCAAATGTATTATTTGGAGAATGCTGCATCATGGCCACTAGATGCAGCTGAGGAGCAAAGGAAATAAGCATTCCATAAGATTTCACAAGATTCTACAAGCGTTTGGAATCTGTCTTTAGGAATTTGTACCTATTCAGCTGAAATAGCATTTGTGAGGTCAAATAACTGGGTGTTCACAAAGGTTGAGGTTTGGGCTCTGAGCGAGACTCTAGAACCTCCACACCAAACTCATTAAAACATGTCTTTATGGATTTGCTTTGCTCACAGAGAACAGTCATACTGGAACACAAAATGGCCTTACCCTAACTGTTGTCATAAGAATGAAAGCACTGTAATATTGACAATAGCCTTCATTGACAGTACCTGAATTCAATCATTCAGCCACTGAGGACAGGTCGACCCATACAAGACAGGAACACTGCAGCAATCCTGAAGTCTACATTCTGCAGTACACCCTGAAAAGTGTTTTCATTCAGAAGCCCTGTACTTGGTGACATGCTGGAAAAGACCTGGTCTCCCCCGCCGCCTCCCTAGACACACTGCAGATCCTCTAACATCAGCTGTCTTCCTACAGTGATAATTAATGCACTGCAGTGGTGTTTAGTCTCTCTTAAAGAACAACTCCACCATTAAATGTGTCACCTGTTTTTGCTATAAACAACATTTCTGAAACAAATGGGAGGGAAAGTCATCATGTTAAATCTTGTGATACCAGCCATTTCTGCCTGTGCCTTCTGCAACCTTAAACCTTGGCAAGCAGTAGCCTTGCCGTGGATACGTTTTCCTGAGCTTCATGACCCATATCAGTTTTTTTCATTCTGATCAGAGGACTTCTAGAAAGCACACTCCTATGGGGAGGAGTCTCTGGTTTTGCAGAAAAAGAAACTGCATTCTCTCTGCCCCTCAAGAAGGATACAGTTTTGGTCCTGATTCTTTCAGTTTGCAAGACCTAAAACTCAAGGACACAGTCAATACATCCTTTAGTAAGATGACTGGTCTTGGTTACCATAAATGTAGGCGTTTCCATAAGGTTTTTCCCAACTATCCCTTGTTTGACAATTTAATTTACAAGGACATGAAGCACATGAACAAGGTTTTTTTTTTCCTTCTTCATCCTCCAGAAGATTTAATTAATAGGTGGATCAGCCCACTAGTCATAGATCTGCCCATAGCTTGTCTCAATAAGGCCACTGTCTTGCTGGGTGGAGGATGTACCAACATTTAGGGACACAGCGGACCAGAAGTTGAAGTCGTTGGCCAGGTCGATGTATTCCTTATTGGACTCTCTTATGCAGCCTGTATCTGACTCCATCACTAGGGGCTCAGACGGTTACTGACTGGTATAGGACCTTGCAGCAGAACCTGACCACGGAAGGAACACTGCAGCCTCTTGCCAAGCTGATGGATCAAATGGTTCAGCCTCATAAACACCTGTGCAACACTGCACTGGATGCTAGTCATTTGGACTGTCACCTTAGTCTCACTTTTGTGAATATGAGAAGGGTCCTGTGGCATGTTGGTCAGCAGTTCAGACTTCTATGAGGTCTCTTCTACAACTTCACTTCATTAAAGGCCACTTGTTCTGCCTAAACCTAAATAAACTCTATTAGAACGCTGGTGGGGGTAAGAGCACTGTTCTTCCCCAGTCGCACAAACTTAGGAATCAGCATCACAGAAACGGCCCCTTTCATTCCAGAAACTAAACTGGGAGATGACTCAATGTGGACACATGGGGCAGGGAGATAGTGACCTCAGGTATTAAGATAGAATTCCTAAGCAGTCTATTCGAATATTCGGAATATCAAATATTCCTTTCTCCCCTGTGTGATCTGCAGACCTTTACCAGGCTTCAGTTGGCCTTTTCTCTCAAGGTGTTATTCCACCATCTCCCCTCTGGAATTGATTTCAAGTCAAATATTTTCACAGTCCTCAGTGGAGAAGGAATCCACCCATCCTGAAGCTCGAGGCTCTTGAAGCCTCTGTGCAATTCCGCAAATGTTGACTTGCTCACTTATCAACTACCTTCACCATGGCAACTTCCTGTCCTCAGCAGACATCCAGTATGCATATCTACACATCCCCATCTTCCCTGGCTATCAACATTTTCTGAGCTTTTCTGCGGGCACAAACCACTATTAATGGATGGCTTTTCCCTGTGGCCAGCCCTTCACACCCAGAGTGTTTACAAAGGTACTAGCCCCAGTTCTAGCTCTCTTGAGATTCTAAGGCAACTCCGTTATTGGTTAGCTCAGTCATCTGATACTCAGAGCTACTTTGTCATAGGAACCAGAATTCCTAGATTATTCTTCTGAATTTCCAAGGGTTCCGGTGGCTGCTGAACACCAAGAACACTTAGTCAAGCTATCTCTTCAACTGAAGTTCTGAGTATCACTCTAAATATTAGATCATAGAGGATCTTTTTTCCTGTTGAATCTTTGCAGGTCCTCACTGTGCTGCTGAGAGTTCTCAGTCTAATTGTTTGAACCTTTGAGGAAATCCTATTTGCCCAGTTCAGCACCAGGGCTCTACAGTAGGACATTTTGTCCAGATGGGACAAATCTTTGCTCACCTTGGACAGCAAAATCTACCTGTATCCCCAGAACATAGTCACCGTGCAGTGCTCGATCAGTTCCCCAATGCTGCCCTCAGGCAAGTTATTCCTGTTCCTCATGTGAAAGATACTCACAACAGACATTAGCCTTTCTAGCTTGGGGGAGTCCTAGGCACCCTGTCAGTATAAGGCCACCCTTTGCTAGAGGAGATTACCAAACAAAGAATAGATTATGGCCAAAGAAGCGGAGCTCTGAGCCAAAACCCAATTAGAAAGCAGCTCCAGAGCTACTATGGTAATGGAAAAAGCAAACTATATACCTGCAATAGACACCTAGGAGCTCAGAATAAAACATAAAATGATGATGCTTGATCTTCATGTTTGATAAATAAGCCTTGTTCCATGGTTAACTCCTTACCTCTGGATACAAGCAAGAATTTTACACATATATGGGTGAAATCGTGAAGGTATATCAGAACCATCATAAAGGGTATCTCACCCATTCTTAAATATAATACACCCATCTCACCCATTCGTAAAAATACATAACTTCATCTGGGTTGTAATGGAACATTTACACGTAAAGAGGCTGAGTACATGTTAAAGGCCTTTGAAGAAAGTGTTAAGGGGGTCTCAGTGCAGCTTCAAATCATGGCCAGATGTTAGGAGAGTGCTTTGTTGTAAAGAAGCGACAATCATCCTGTTTAAAATGAAAGTTCATCAGGACTTCACCCGCCTATGGCTATTGAAAGATAACTAAGTGAGCCAGTTTTGGCAAGGATAAGGTGCCCATAAGTCCAGGACTGGTATCTATGTATTTAAGGGAAGTGGGTTTGCTTTAAAAAAGAGTCTGAAATCAGACAGGGTTGCAGACTGCGAATGAAGTGGACCCCCTGCGGGTAGATGTTTAGGCCTGGGCTGCTGCTCAACCTTTGCTGCAGAGACAGGATTTCACCCTGAGGATGTGACCAGGCCTGTCTTTGTTGTAGTTATAGTGGAAGACTGTTGGCAGATGGTAAGCTGTGTGCTAGTTCTTATTCTTTGGATGCCTTGCAGCCATGTGGGCTGGTAATATGTAACTCCCTCTAATTGATTGAGTTCAAGTGGGGGGTCCTGTTAATACTACAACACAAAGAGACCATTTTAGACAATTTTGCTTTTCCAACCTTATAGTAACAGTTTGGTGAAGGACCTTTTCTATTTCATCTTCACTGTCCCTTGTGGTAATTGGAACACTGATTGTGATCCAGATCTTCTCATTCCACACCACTACCTGACCTCACAAAAGGGCACAAATTCCCACAGACGCACTCCAAAATATTGGGGAAAGCCTTACCTGAAGAGTGAACCACAAAGGCAAAGGAAGGGGCAGGAAGTGGGGTTCATCTCCATATTAATGTCCATGGTTTTGGAATGGAAAGTCCAACAAATTCATAAAGGTGCAATGGTCAGGTGTCCACAAACTTTTGACCATATAAAGTACATTACAAAGTAACGGTGAACATAGTAATATGTTTTATTAAAAAATCTTATCCACTAAAACATCTACCTAGAATTGTGAAGAAATTGAGTTTTGAAAATGTTAAGGATCGTAGTGGGGATATTGGCAAAATTACAGGAAAGGAGAGTTCTTGATGATAGAGCCGGAGCACGTTCTCTGGATGGCAGGGGTTAGCCCCCGGTACAAAGAAATACAGTCAGTGATTGTATAAAGCATTTAGTATTGTGGATCTTTTGAAAGACATAATCAGGCCACCAACCTTTACACCTTTTCCACTTTCATTGTTATAGGATATTTCCATGGCACGCAAATTCTCTTTGTACTTTCCATGTCCTCCAGGCTTGAAGTACTCTCCCTCAATCAAATCTTTCTCTAAATCTGCAGAATATTTCTTGATGGTAGCCTCACATACCTCCTGAGACACCTTCTCATTCCTGGTCCAAAGCTCATTTTGTACATTATGTAGATTTTTCTGAAGGTAAGAAAATATATTTTAGCTATATAGTTTAGCCAAACATAACCCTTTACTAGTTTTACACTCCCTTGTTAGAGTATTCCTGGTATTTATAGACAAATCAGTAATTTAATTAGTTAAACAGTTAATTAATCAATCAATCTTTGAAAGTAGCATTCAGCTGAGTTAGCTCTCTTCTTATGCAAAAAATGTATAAGGTGCACTTGCTCTTTAAAGGGTGTACATAGGGCCCCATAGTATGATCTGTGGGCCCCCCCACCAAAACAAAAAGTACCTACCTCCGGAACACATTGCAGAGTCCACATGAGCCCTCCCACAGCCCACCACAGACCCGGCACAGCCCACCTGAGACCCTACAGAGCCCTATTGAGACCCTGCACATACCAGAGACCCTGCATAGCCGAGATGAGACCCCGCACAGACCACCTGAGAGTGACCTGCAGAGCCCACCATAGATCCTGCACAGCCCACCAGAGACTCTCTATGGTGGGCTCTGCAGGCTCTCAGGAGGGCTGATCGGGGTCCCTTTCCCTGCAAACGTGCACTCCTCTTACCTGTCAGCCCCTAGCCGCCCGCTGCTGGGCCCCGGCCT